CTTAACCTGGGATATTAGTTATACAGTAATAGTATTGACAATCTAAAAAAAACTGAGCAACTCAACGGTTCACTTTTATATTTCTTATTGTCTAAAGCAGGGGTTCCCAACCCCCGGTCCGCGGTAACTAGTTAATCTTTCACCAGAAAACCGTTGAAAATGGCTTTTATGATGTTCCGAGGGATTCGGCGGCTCAGCCTAAGGTCTCAGCCTCTTGTGCGCACGAGCATGTTACCGGTGCGCCAAGTAGGAAGAGGAGCGCACAGGAGACAACCGTTTGATTGCAGACTGTTATGTTTATGTGGGGAAATGGTGGTGCATACATTATTTGAGATATATTTCAAACTCTGACTTCATTTTAAGGACATGTCGGCCAGGGGTGTAGAGCTATTTGTTTAAGCACCGGATTGGCAAAACAGGAGAGTAAACCAGTCTGCCTTGATCTATGAATTAATGTCCGGGACTCTCACGGTATCTGCTGCCCGCTGCTGTTTTATAGAAGGAAACCCTCCTTCACTTCATGAAATGGCTGCAGCATCAGGAGGCAGCGGGACGTATACTCGGTAAAGAGCTGTGCCTTTTTACGCACCACCTTCGCTGTGTTTAACTTAATCAGAACAGCTTAAGAGTGACTGCAGGCTGCTACGTGTTAACCACACACACCTCTACACACATCGAACTGCCCGATTACTCCCGCTTTTATTAGTTTTATGAAGGAGATTTCCAGTCAGTCACCAAGGCGCATGATGTGTGTGTGTATGTGCTCTGCTCAGCTCAGCTCTGTGTGTTCGGTGTGTTTGTGTCTGTCCGACACCGGCATATATGCGGCTGTTCCCAAAATAAATTAGTTTAATCTTAATCTCGATGTAGTGCTAAATGCTGTCAGGAGTGCACCGGAACGAACGACACTATCATAATCATAATATCTTCTGAAAACAAATGCCAGTATCACACACACACGCACACGCACACGCACACACCCTGGCGACCGGACATCTCCTTCATAATGCGCCTTCTCCTCGTTTTCCCAGCATTCACTGGATTATCCGTAAATCATACAAACAAAACCAAAACGTTGATTTATCTGTTTTCCCGTTTTGGTTTAAAAACTGAATAACGTCGGTTTTTTGGTTTTCCGAAAAACCAAAAAACAACACCGGTTCTTTTTTAAACTTTGTTAATATGTTTTGGATGCATATTGTTCTAGTATTTGTTCAGGCTGTTACATACAATTAGCCTCTGTTGCTACCTGCTGGTGGTGAGTAAATATTAAAATCAGTTAAAATTGACAACCGGTCCGCAATTTTTTTTTAATGTATCTACCGGTCCTTGGCACAATAAAGGTTGGGAACCCCTGGTCTAAAGCATTTATTATTTTCATTTTTCCCCTCTCATATTCAGTCTGGACGGATTGAGACAGCGTGGTGTCCAGAGAGCTGCAGAGACTTCAGGGAGAAACCTCCGTGTGATGGACGTCCTGTCTGTTGGTTTGGCCGGAGAGGACTGAGGGTCTTTCCTCAGCGAGTAGGACCAGGCCTGATGGAGGAGCCCATGCTGGGCATAGCTGATACCACCTGCACAGGCCTAGTCTGTCACTTTATTTGACTAAATGTGTTTACTTATACATTTAATAGGTTTACACCTTCTGTCCATATGTGCTTTTTATTTAAAACATTTTTGATTAACTTTTGGTTCACATTTCAATAAATTGTATATGTATTTGCACTACTTTTGTCCATTATTCTGAAAATGTTAGATTACACATTCACATCTGACTGAAGATTGGCCCCATTTATTTGTGACGTAGCAAACTCTGCGGTACAAGGTACATGTTGTGAAGCTCATAAAGTGAGGCAAATAGAAATAATCAGCTGATGGAGTGTAGATGTGGAAATAGGTGCATCCGATCAGCTGACTTTGTTTTCACAATAAAAGTAGTTTCTTAGTGAATGTCCTGTATTGGTCTTAAAATCTCATAACATCAGCTTTTAATTTTCCTCTTGGATGTTCTTCTTGACCCGCAGAGAAGGAGAAAATGTTGAGTCGTGTCTTTCAGGCATGTCCTTTCCTAACAAAAATGACAGGAAACATAACACATATTATTGCAGAACAAGTGTGTTATTTATGAAAGAGGTGTGTTTGTGTTTAGGGGCTGTAGATATAATTATTTTGTAATTGTAATGTTTTTTATTTCAACAGTGAGCTACAAAGACAATCAGATTATGAATGAACAGTATGAAATTCATCAACATTGAAATATATTTTATTATCAAAATAATATTTAACTGTTATCAAAACTTAGTGCAACTGTAGAAGCTTGAATAACTTTTACCACGTTTTTTACAGACAATATTGAGAGATAAATAGTAGCAGTTCTCACTATGTGTTAAATAGCTTTGCCTTCAATACATTAAAGTGGACCTATCATGCTATATTTGAATAATATAGTATAGGACCATACCTATATAAGGCATATTTATACTTTTTTTTTTTGAAAATACCAAACAGATCATGCATTTTAGCCATGCCTCATTTTGCTCAATTTGACATTTTTTAGCTCTGTTTTTGCACCATCTACAGGCCTGGAATATGTACTACAGCGTCTCCAGCGCTTTCGAACGGCAATGGCCGTGGCTGTCTCCTCCTGATTGGTGGAGTTGGCCCAATAGCCGTAGCGCCACTGTCCTGACGTCAGGACAGTGTTCAAATCTGGATCAGTTTTTATCAGATCCGTTGCAGCCCCTTTTTTAGAGATTTGGGTATGGAGGAAAATAGAGAGGGTTGTGTTTTCTGACACTTGGTGAGTTCCCTGGAACACCGGGGACACATATTCATGTATAAAAGACGTACAAAAGTGCATTTTGCATGATAGGTCCCCTTTAAATTAGAAAGCTGACAAAGTCATATTGCTTGTTAACATCTAAATGTAGTATTTAGTATTGTTTAATGGAATGTATATCAGTGTATTAAAGTCAATACTTCATTTATTTAAACCAATATCTTTCTTGATTCTTTGTACAGTATGAAAAAAGAGTATTTGTACCTGTGCTGAAGTTCACTGCTGTGAGGAGTCCAGTTCTGTCTCTCACTCTCTGGTCCAGGCTGTCTGGATCACCTGGAAACGTTAAACAAACAGATATATATGTAAAGTACCCTTGGATGATGGGTTAGTAGACTAAAAGCTTTAGGAATCCAAAGTACAACATATAATAAGTACCCTGTATCAAGATTGATGCAAAACAAGTGACATTTGACCTTTTTAGAGAGGTTTAGCCAAAACCACTCCACCTCTGAGGTGATTTGGGTGAAAATGTTTTTTTTTCCATATTTCTGTAAAGATACAAAGGTTTTTAAAATCCTCTGATACTGCAGTTAACCAGTCCCAGTTAAAATCTCCAAGTAGCACTATTTCCTTGTAGTCAAGTTGCAATAAAATATTTGCTAGCGAAGACAAGGAGTCCTTGACAGCTGAGGGGGGTCTGTAACAGCCCACCACCATGACCTGTTGCCCCTTTGCCACTTCTATATTTAAGGCTAAAAATTCGAATTGCTTACTGATAGATTTGGAAACTAATGCGGTTACACTGAACTTATTCTTAACATAAATGGCAACGCCACCACCTTTATTAGGCCGGTCGGAACGATACACATTATAACCATTTAAGGAGATGTCAGAGGCCAAAATAGATTTATTTAGCCATGTTTCTGATAAAACAATGACGTCAGCGTCAGTCGAGCTTGCCCAAATGCGGACAAAATCTAGTTTACCTAACAGACTGCGCACATTCAAGTGGATGAAACCCAACCCAGACCTAGCTTTAAAATCAGCAGGAGTAGCGATCTGACTACTACTACTGGGCGGACCAGGGTTAGGTTGTACATTTCCTGACAGTAATAACAACAACAAAAAACAGGCATCTTTTCCTCTTAAACGACACACATACATTGTCATCTATTTTAGAATCACCGGAAAAGTCTGCGAGAGTGTGATTAGAGTTTAAGAAGCAGTCCTGAAGAGCCATCATCGCAGGCAAACAAAAAAGACAAACATATTTTGTCGAGCAGATTGTCTGTGACAAGGCAACCGGTAATTGTTTGTGTAACACATCCGAACCTTTGCAGGGGATGCCCACTGCGGGTGGCAGAACAGACCTGAATCCAGTAGACTTCTCAGAAAGACTAGAGATCTTCCCATAGTCCAAAACAGTTAACAGGCACAGCAGAATCACGATATGGGCCATTTTCCCAGACCAGCACACAGTATCCGCGATGTTCCTGGAGCAAATCAGCACAGCAGCAAAGGACAGGCGAAAGCAGCAGCGTGGAAGCGCTCCGGTCTCTCCGTGGTATCCCCGGGGTGAAAGGTCTCCTCAGCAAAGCAGCACACGACACCGCAGCACACGACAGGTGGGAGCAGGCCTCCGCAACAGCAGAACCAGGACAGGTGGAAAGCAGGCCCCAGCCGTGGTAAATCCTCCTCCGCACAGCAGCACACGCCCGGTGGAAGCAGGCCCCAGCCCGAAGCGTGGAGCCACTCCGTCTCTCCGCGACGACTCCGGGGTAAAAACCTCCTCAGCACAGCCGTACTCTACAGGTGGGAGCAGGCCTCCGCAGCTCGCAGATCGCAGACACCAGACAGGTGGAAAGCAGGCAGCAACAGGTGGAGCCGCTCCGTCTCTTCGCGACGTCTACGGGGGAAAACCACCTCAGCACAGCCGTGAACCACCTCTAAATGTGTTAATGAACCTGGCCTCTAGGAAGGGTTTGTCTCTGCCCAGAATGATATGCTCTATTGCATCATGTTCAGCAGTCTTTCTCCTGCTCCTTTGTGTCATCCTTGCCGTTTTGGTTAAAAGTCTGCATTGCCGTCAGCGATCTCCTCAGCCATCTCCTAAGCCATGTACTCCTGCTAGTGTTTCTTGGTGAGACATTGGAATGAGCATGAGCCAGAACATACCGAGAAGGGACTTCATGCTTCAGCTGGCACACGAGCTGCGCGCTTAGTGGATGGCATCAAAAGCACCACCACTTGCGGACGTGCCCTTCACCGGTGCAGAAGAGCGCAGGAGAATGACCTGCATGGTGAAGGCGCACTGCATGCAGAATAAAACATTCTGCAAATGTGTCAAGTGTGGGGATGCTGTTTGTGGCAAATGCACAGCCAAGGTGCTGAATGTTTGCATCAATTGTGTTTGAGTGTGTGTGAAGCGTTGTATGATCCATGTGTTCTAATTGGTTATTTTTCTTCTTCTCTGATCTTTTGCGTTATTTTTATATGTTCTGTGTTATCTGCTGTTCAATTATATAAAAAATACATTATTATATTATATTATTGTCATGTTGTTGTTTTTTTATGAGTAAAAGGCTATCGTCGATATGAACCATTTTTACCTAAACGAAACACAAGTCTAACACCAAGCGTTTAAATCAGCACTGGTAGCGATATTTTATACTTCATGCTATCTGCACAAACTATATCATATGAAAAGCTGAGAGTCCACAGATTCTATTGGTATAAGTTTCATCCCTGTGCGATCAAAACTCACTGTTCTTGTATGATAAATAAAAGAACATTGTACCTTGAAAATCAATGCATTCTAATAGCGGGTACATTTTACCCGTTGGCGGTTTTAGGTATACAGTGACCTCTGGCGGTTCTAGTCTTAAACACACCACAAAGAAGAGGTCAGTGCATGAAAGACAACATAAAGCATGTCGTACAACAGTGTGGTCAAGCCATTCTGCACATAAGCGTAAACTAGGGAATCCTCCTCGCTTTGTTTCCCATGGATTTATACTCACTAATCAAAAGAAATAAGGATGGCATCCTTCATGTTGACAGCGCATAGCACTCAGGAGAGTTGAGTCATTTGATCTGGATGGCTGGCTCTCCCTCTCCTCTGCCTGTTGCTTGTAGCGAGGGGCTCACAAATCTCCTTGTATTAACACTAGCTTGGCTGTGAGACGGGATTTAGGCCTCAGAGCGGTATCCACTATCGACTGCATGTGAATCCAGTGTTTGAGCTTATAGCAGCCTCCGAAGAGGGATGATGGTCTGTAGGGAGGAAACAGTGTATATGACTGTGACTGGAAATCTATTTATGGTGCCATTATGTAGCATTTAAATCTTGTATCATAGAAATGAATGTTGGATATGCAGTAAACATGATCAACAGAGGACAAACGGTTTTCTCAACCATAACATGGAGACATATTGAGTAGGGCTGTCAGTCGATTAAAATATTTAATCGCGATTAATCGCATGATTGTCCATAGTTAATCGCGATTAATCGCAAATTAATCGCACATTTTTTATCTGTTCTAAATGTACCTTAGAGGGATATTTTTCAAGTTTTTAATACTCTTATCAACATATGAGTGGACAACTATGCTTTATATGTTTGTTTATTATCATTTGAACAATGACAAATATTCTCATGAATATTAAACACAACAACCTCTGAACATTACAAATATTCGCCTCAATTCAACCTGGAACCTCTCTCATACAATAATACTGTGTGTGTGTGTGTGTGTGTGTGTGTGTGTGTGTGTGTGTGTGTGTGTGTGTGTGTGTGTGTGTGTGTGTGTGTGTGTGTGTGTGTGTGTGTGTGTGTGTGTGTGTGTGTGTGTGTGTGTGTGTGTGTGTGTGTGTGTGTGTGTGTGTGTGTGTGTGTGTGTGTGTGTGTGTGTGTGTGTGTGTGTGTGTGTGTGTGTGTGTGTGTGTGTGTGTGTGTGTGTGGAGGATCGTTGGAGCTATGTGCAGCTCAAGGCATATATGCCTGTGTGTATGAGCTGTGTTGCGGCACTATCCGTGCTGAGTGTGCTGTCTGGCTACCTGCATAAAGTCAAGTGCTCGGCGCAGTTGTCGGCGAAATGTCGCTCCTCTGTTTTCATTGAAACAGCTCCTTATATCCGTTAGCTCAGCTAGCTAGCACCAGATGCTAACAACAACAGGTAAGGTGTGCTTCGCTCGCGCCACACATACACACACCCTCCCGGTCCTCCCGATGGCCAGTCCGGGCCTGCCGGTGAGCGTGGAAGTGTGGTCTGCCACAAGCGGGCAGCAGGAGCGGGGCTGTCAGCATCAGCTTGTAGATGGTATTTTAAACTCGATGCGCTCTGAAACTACGGCGGCCGAGGACAAAAAATACACATGCGTTAATCGCGTTAAAATAATTAGTGGCGTTAATTTTTTTTTTGCGTTAACGCGTTATTAACGCGTTAACTTGACAGCCCTAATATTGAGTTGTCATGTCACACGATGAGTTTATGGTGGATTCTCTAAAGATACTCACTTTTAAATGTATTGTTTCACAGGGCTTACGGAAAAAACTGTGGCACAAAAAGCATTTTTCACCAAAGAACTACTGACAGGCAGTACATCAGGAATACATTTTTCTACCAAAGTGTGTGGCTAGAAACACTATTAAGATCAGATATTTTCCACTTTCACATCTCTCCACTTTCACACATCCCACTGTGGTTTTCAACAGGTTAAATGCGCTTAAGACCTTCCTTTTTGATAAAGCTTATAGTTAGTACTAGGGGTGTAACGGTTCACAAAATTCACGGTTCGGTATGTACCTCGGTTTGGGGGTCACGGTTCGGTACGGGTTCGGTCCAACAAGAAAAAGCAAAAAAAAGTCCCAAATGCATAATTCCAGGTTTGTTTTTTATTTATTTTATTTTATTTTATTTATTATATATTATATTATTTATATAACAGTAGTGCAAGTTTCAGTTTAACAATAAGGAATTCTAACATTTTGAATAATTAACTTTATTACACAGTTAAAAACAAACCACAAACAGTACCACACACACTCAGATGGCCATATTATCTATAATGGCTGATGTCAAACAAAAAGGTTCAATAAACTGTAAAACTAAAAAGAATGTCTTGAAAATATTACAAAATAAATAATAAGATAGTGAATCAATCACAATCAATAAAAGCTGGGGTCCTCTACTATTGCATAAGGGCGCAGCATAGCCGTTGAAAAACATATGCCAAAAGCTTCCGTTATTTCTTTTGGTCTCTCGGCTTTCATGTCTATTGGCTTCTTAAACAGCGGGGATAAGCTGTTGAACTGCTGTTGTCTTTTGCCGGGCTCCGGTGATTGCTAAATCTGGGTGATGCCTTCTGATATGATTTAGCATGTTTGGCGTGTGTTACCATTGTAAGAAATTAAAATCAATATGATACTTGAATATTGAATGGATGCACCGTTTTATTTTGAAAAGCTTTATTTTGAAGGACAACCCCGTCGTTTACATGACGTCACGTCCGGTGTTACATGATGTCACTTCCGATTTCACATCTATGTTTACAGCCGTCAGAATGTATAGAATAAAAAGTCATGAATGAGAATATGAGGAGGAAAGGCTTGTGGTGTTACACATTAAACACACAACGTCTAGATCTTCTTATTTTATTCAAAATGAATCCAGAGAAACGAAGGGGATGAAGACCCGCCCATCGTCGAAGCAGCCAATGAGAAGAGGAGCCAGGAATCAGATATTCACACGCAGCACGGACACTCGGGGCCGTTCTCATTTCATCAAATCCCCCTCCTCGACTCCTCTATTCCTCGGTCCTCCGGTAGTGACCCGGAAATGAATTTTAGCACGCCATGTTGAATCTCATTTCTCTAAATGCACATCGAGGACCGAGCGTCGAGGAGGCTCTCTGGAGGAGCTATAACCGAGGATACACTGATGGGTCCTCCACGGTCCTCCACGGCTCCTTCGTGGATGCATTTCCGGGAACAGAGATGTTTCAAAGAATCGTGATGCACGGCCGGACTTATCTCAGCCAATGACAGCTCTGCATGCATCCCCTGGATATTATTTTATTAACTGCTTTCATCCCGACGCGATATTTACAGTGAGAACAGCTGTGAGGTCCGTGCAGAAAGCAGAGCAGTGTGTATAATATATATCACTCAGTATAACAGGCCTACTCTCTTTATTTGCTTTAGTTTAGGAGATATCTACAAACAAAGAGTCGATATTTTTCTAAAACCATTTAGTGCTTCACATAATAAAATACACAACGGCTGTAGCCTGATTATATGCTTTAGGAGCTGTAGGTGCGTGTGTGTGGTGTAGGTGTGTGTGGTACAGTGTGTGCGTAGATGCAGCGGACAGACAGGTCTCAGTTGGTTTGGTGTCCTCTGCTTACTTTTAATACTTCTAAATAAAACTTGTGGCCCGTAATTTATTTTCCTCATTGTAGCGACCAGAGAGGGGAGAGGGGGGATATATCCAGTCTCTGATAGTGTTACGTTATTATGAGAGTGCTCTGCTCTGAAATTGTATATATTTATATAAATATTAGGGCTGTCAGTCGATTAAAATATTTAATCGCGATTAATCGCATGATTGTCCATAGTTAATCGCGATTAATCGCACATTTTTGATCTGTTCTAAATCTACCTTAGAGGGATATTTTTCAAGTTTTTAATACTCTTATCAACATGAGTGGACAAATATACTTTATATGTTTGTTTATTATCATTTGAACAATGACAAATATTCAACAACCTCTGAATATTACAAATATTCGCCTCAATTCAACCTGGAACCTCTCTCATACAATAATACTGTGTGTGTGTGTGTGTGTGTGTGTGTGTGTGTGTGTGTGTGTGTGTGTGTGTGTGTGTGTGTGTGTGTGTGTGTGTGTGTGTGTGTGTGTGTGTGTGTGTGTGTGTGTGTGTGTGTGTGTGTGTGTGTGTGTGTGTGTGTGTGTGTGTGTGTGTGTGTGTGTGTGTGTGTGTGTGTGTGTGTGTGTGTGTGTGTGTGTGTGTGTGTGTGTGTGTGTGTGTGTGTGTGTGTGTGGACCCTGTGATGGATCGTTGGAGCTATGTGCAGCTCAAGGCATATATGCTCGAACGGGAGCTGCCTGGACGCTGCAATCATGTTGGTTGCACGCACTATCCGTGCTGAGTGTGCTGACTTTTCGTACAATGTCCCACTGTCTGGCTACCTGCATAAAGTCAAGTGCTCGGCGCAGTTGTCAGCGAAATGTCGCTCCTCTGTTTTCATTGAAACAGCTCCTTATATCCATTAGCGCAGCTAGCTAGCACCA